AGGTATTCACTGAAATTTGAAAATTCGAAATTTTTATAAAAGTATCAGAGGAGCATGGAAATCGAGGAGATATTCACTGAAATTTGAAAATTCGAAATTTTTAAAAAGTGTCAGGGGAGCATGAAAATTCAGGAGGTATTCACTGAAATTGAAAAATTAAAAATTTTCAAAAAAGTATCAGGGGGGCATGAAAATCGAGGAGGTATTCACGGAAATTGAAAAATTAAAAATTTTCAAAAAAGTATCAGGGGAACATGAAAATCGAGGAAGGATTCGCTGAAATTCGAAAAGTCGAAATTTTTGAAAAATTATAAGGGGAACATGAAAATCGAAGAGGTATTCACTGAAAGTTGAAAATTCAAAATTTTTATAAAAGTATAAAGGGAGCATGAAAATGGAGGAGGTATTCACTGAAATTGAAAAATTAAAAATTTTCATACAAGCATCAAAGGAGCATGAAAATGGAGGAGGTATTCACTGAAAATTGAAAATTCGAAATTTTTCGAAAAGTATCAGGGGAGCATGAAATTCGAGGAGGCATTCACTGAAATTGAAAAATTAAAAATTTTCAAAAAAGTAACAGGGGAGCATGAAAAACGAGGAGGTATTCACTGAAATTTGAGATTTCAAAAAGTATCAGAGGAGCATGAAAATCGAGGAGGTATTCACTGAAATTGAAAAATTTTAAATTTTCAGAAAATAAAATTCACCCAGTCGATTGGTCCCTCTGACAGCGGGACGCATTACGTGTGGCGTTCTCCCTCTCTTGGGGTGCATTACTACGATGCCGCTGGGGACACTGCAACCCCCAAAACTGAGCCCAAAGAGGATTGACTAAAGTAGAGGCTCAGTTCTGGGGGTTCGAGCGACCCCAGAGGCATCGTAGTACTGCACCCCAAGAGAAGGAGGGCGCCACACGGAATAGGGGTGTCGTTACGTCAGCGGACTCGGTAACTGCCTCACTAGCAGTGCCGACGATGACTGCAGTTGCTCCACTGAGTCCTGCCAATTTCAAATAAGGCCCTGAGGCTGCTGCCGATTTCCACAGAGGCTCAGGTGGAACCAGTTTGTACTCACCACGGGGCTTGAGGCCTGAATAATTGATAACCTAAAAAATTCATGGATATTCATTTCTCATGTAATTAACAAATGTCAAAAAATAACAATTTTGATCGCTGTA